GCGCTTTTCTGGACACTCAAAGCGCTTTACAGGTAATGGTGACTCCCCTCCACCACCACCAGTATGCAGCATCCACCTTGATGATGTGACGGCAGCAATAGTGTGCCAGAATGCGCACCACACACAGGAGAGCAGAGTAATGAAGCCAATTCATAGATGGGGATTATTAGGAGGCCATTATTGGGCCAATGGGAAATTTACTATTTTCCCATTTCAAGAAACACCCTGAGATTTTTCATGACCATAGAGAGTCAGGAGCTCGGTTCTACATCTCATCTGAAAGACGGCACCTGTTTACAGTATAGTATTCCCGTCACTTTACTGGGGCATTAGGACCCACATGGGCCCACACGGGCCCCCTGCCCCACTAACACCTCTTCCAGAGGCAACCTTAGTTTTTCCCAGGAGGTCTCCCATCCAGGTACTGACCAGGCTCACACCTGCTTAGCTTCAGTGGGTTGCCAGTTGTGAGTTGCAGAGTGATATGGCTGCTGGCCATATTTGCTCTTAGTACTTTAGTTGATTGAGCAATCTAAGAGAATGATATTGAGCTGTTCCATATTTTCTCACCTTTTTATTGATGGACTTCGCTGTGCTTTGAGGTATATTCAATGCCTTGGAAATTTTCCTATATCCTTGCCCTGACTGGTATTTTTCAAGAACCTTGTCTCGGATCTGCTTGGAATGTTCCTTGGTCTTCATGGTGTAGTGTTTCCTTGGAATTGCACTAAGTAGGGAAGCTCCCAGCCACAGATGTGTTTAATCTGAAATCATGCGAAACACCTCAACTGCACACAGGTGGACTCCAGTCAAGTAATTATGTGACTTGGAGAAGAGAGTTGGTTACTTTAGTGGTAATTTAGTGTGTCAAAGCAAGGGGGAGAATACAGTACTTATGCATTAAATTATTTTCTGTTTTTTATTTTTAATTTATTTAGTAAAATGCATTTTTTTTACTTTGACATTGTAGAGTACTTTGTGTTGATGAGTGGCACACATTCTCAGTTAAATACACCATGGTTCCATGCTGTTACACAATAAAATGTGGAAAAAGTCCAAGGGGGGTGTAGACTTTCTATAAGCACTGTATATAAAAATAATAATTCCTTTGCTTTTATTCCACAAATCAATAGCATACCTGCGTTATTGTATATATTGTTTATGCAGGAAAAAGACAATTAGTGTTATTTGTTTTTACAAGGGGAGTCTGGCAAGACGGTGGCAGCAGTGGATTAATTTTTGTGATCACATGTTCTTGTAACTTCTGTCATTGTTAATGAATGTTCCAAGTTCTTGGCAATTAATTTTTCCTTATTTACGTAGGTGGCTGAAGAAAAAAAAATCTTGCTGTGACAGGTTTGGCAGTGAGAACGAATCTTATTTATAGCACAAGAACCATGCTAATGATTTCATTAACCACTGGCAGTATGATGTGTGGCTAGTAGGCGTTCACTGGACTTCCATCCAGGCATCTGTATTCTATAGGTCCAAGGGATACTAGTCTCTCCTATTCAGGTTTTTTAATTCTTTCAAGGAAGGGAGATGTGATGCATAAATATGTTACTAAATTTTAAGAGAAAGGATCACGGATAGGGAAAATATCTATCTGCTATGCAGCACAATATCATCTTAGAGTAGAGATTTCTGCACATAAATATGGGAGAAATTCATGATAAGAAGTGAAAATTCCTAACCTTCCTAAGCTCATGTGGCTGTTAGTTGTTAATGGATGAAGGGAACTTACAAAGCTGTTTTATTTTTTAAGGAGCTCTTTGATCTGACTTTATCATTTATCAAGAAATGTCTGCTCTTGCAGTGGACTACTGCAGATTCAGTATCTAAGGTCTATCAATGGCATGGTGAATTTAAGGGGTTTTGTGATAGCTGGCATCCTAGGACAGGAGGGGTCATTCTAGTTGATATGCAATAAGAAGCTTTCTTGAATAGTTGGTAGCTACTGTAGCTATTTCAGGGCTTTATATGAGTGTATCTAGTTTTAGCGAGGATCCTAGCAGTGGCACTATGGATTACCAAAATTATGAGCAGGACACAATCTAAACTCCATAATAGTATAATAAGAACAATAATAATTGGTGAATCTAGCCCAGATGTGATGAAAGCATGGATAAAGTTCATGGTGTCCTGTAGAGAGAGGAAACGTTAGTTGAGCATTATCAATTGAGATGGAGAAAGGACACTGACCACGTTTTATTTGTGTATCAAATGAAAGATAAGGATCAAAAGGCACACCTAGACTCTATTAAAAGCTATGTGAGGTTATTCTTTTGTGAGTCTATTTAGCTCGAATAGTTGGCAGAACAGAAGATAAGGCATGTTTTTATTTCATAAAAAAAAGTCCTTTCACTACAGAAAACTTGTAAGTTTGTGGCTCTCCATTTCCATTATTCTGGATGTTCTTTTGTAGGATCTTTTCAGAGCAGAGTAGTATGTTGTACTGTATCTAAAAAGAATTCAGTACATACATTACCCCCGATTAGAATTTAGAACATTTTTGCTGTGTATCCAAGTACTTTGTGGATATCAGCATACTTCTCTTTGTTGTCTAGATGAGTAAATTGATAATCAATATAAATCCGTAAGACTTCCTCAAGCTCATTAACTTAAAATGTAGTTACTTGTTACATATATGTAATGATTACTCTTTTTAAATGGTACTGAATTTCATTTACCTTATATCTGCCTATTTCTGTTAAAAATAACATTGTGATTTTTGGTCCCCAGTGGTTCTCTCACTTCTAGGTCAAAACAAGAATTACCTTTCAGAAACCTGAGGACAAATTGATTTGAGAGGTAGCCATTGGCTTCTCACAGTCACATTAATTTACGCAGTACCATACTGGTTTCCATCTGCATTAGAGTAGTTTAAACCCCCACCGCCACCTTTATTCCTTCTTCTTACAGATTTTATACATTTCTCCATTCAGAAAAGTATGCACTGCAGCACTTAAAAGCTGTGAGATATTATTTAGTCCTACCACTAAACCCTCTGAATTTGTGTCAGTTCCTGTAACACTTGCTTCTTGCAGTGCTGGTTCCTGAATATTACTGCTATTTTAATGTAAAAAGCTACCAAGCCTTATCCTGTTTTGAAAAATATGTACCCATTAATAAAATATTCCTTTCCATCAACTGTCAAATTCTATTGCTTGATTCTTAAAAGCCGTTCAATACAGGCCATTCAGTGTTGCTATACTTGTGATGGCCTTTTTCATTTGTCCTGTTTCCACCCACTGTGCATCTCCCATGTTTTACCTTTAAATGATTTTCCCTTCCATCCACTCTGTGTTTCTAAATCACATTGTAGATTATTGTTGCAAGTAGTAGGGCTTTCCTATATATGAGGTTCATATATAGGCCACTCCTTCTTCATATACATAGCATCTATGGAAGAATTGATCTAGATGGCTGTGGCAGCAAAATATTTCTTCAGTAAACAGTATTGAGCCACGCAGTACGTTGCATTGAGGGAGACTTGATCACAGGAAATCTTGTAAAAAATGATGAGATCTCTTTTTGGATTCGTGTTTTCTTACTTCTCAAAAAGGAGTCTTTCATGACTTGAATAAGTTGTAGATTAAGCTTAGTATGTAATATGTTTGAAAGGAAAATGACTAAGAGATGTCTATACGTTTTGTAATTTCTACTGTAAAAATGCGGGATGGGATTTTCATGAGTGCAAAAAAAGGAGTTCTAGAAAAGAGATCACACTATTCTATTCGATTTTTCAACTGTGTAAATTGGCTCCAGAAATGGTATGGGCCGGTTTTTCAACATAACAGTGACTCCAAACATCTGATAGACCAGATCAAAATTGCTTAAAATTTAAAGAATGACAAAAGGTTTTGGAATCTCAAAGGCATTTGACTTGTTAGGAATGAGCAGTATGAACAGTATGAAAAAGAAGGCTGGAAACACAGCCATGAATATGTTGCGGATGATTAGGATTGGCCAGAAACAGCAAGGATACAGCACTTGGTTGGTGTCTTCTGAGAAGGCTGATAACTTATGGACCGAATGAGCAAAAAAGCTTGCTCTCGTTTGTAACCTTTCCTATATTTTTATAATACATGTGAATCAAATTGTAATTCAAAAAGATTTTCCAACTTCCATGTGCAAGCATGCATAATTCTTTTATACATTTATTATTTATATATAAATAGCTGTGATTTTATCAATGTGTGTATAAAGCAGTGATTAGTTGTCTAAGCTATATGACTATCTCTATACAGTATATATGAAAAGGGGTAATTAATTGTGTAGATTCAGTCTCTCTCCATACGAGCAGCTGTCACTAAAAAAAAAGATGTATCTATAAATTGCAGTGTACATCTTTATCTAAAGACTCATATAATGATAATTGTAAGTATATTACCTATGTCATTAAGTTGACAGGGTATTATGCCACTGTGAAACGTGTTAATGCTTTATCTAGGAGACAAACAGCTTCTCCTATTGTTTTATTATGATATCTAGATGCTTAAAGCTATGTATTTGTGAATATTTGCCACTGTACCTAGCATTGTTATCTAGGTCTATTTTTAAACACACAGCTCCAGGGTGAGGTAAAAGCAAAGATAGTACTTATTAGTTACATTGCCTGCAGTGCTTAAGGATGTCTCTTCCCATGTGTATATACCTGCTTTTGCTGCAGTTGACTAATTATCCATGGCAAACAAATTCAATACTACATGTAAACCAGCTGTCTTTGTTGTTTAATTATACATTTACTTTAACTGCCAAAAAAGAAAACTCCACTATCACAGGGCAGATCCATTATTTTGTAACAAAGTCTCCTAGTTGAATGTAAATTAGATTAGTAAGCCTGAAGTTTTTTTAATTATTACAAAAACATTTCTTCCGCGAAAGTAACTGTTCCGATAAAAGGTCCACCAAGGTTTAGCAGCAGATGTATGTGTTTCAGACACAGCCAATTGCTGCTTGCTCCTGATGCTGTTTTATGTTTTTTTCTTTTTTCCTAGGATCTCATGACCAGGGGAATAATCTGAAGCCGTATGTTGCTGCAGATGCTACAGTTATATTCCCATCTCCGGCTACAGCAGCTAACGCACAGAAAGGAAGTCCAGACTGCCACAGAGCACTGCCGTCTTTGGCTTCAAAGGAACCCTGTGTCCTGAGTCCTCCCTCCCCGCTGAGACTCACCGAAGCGCCTGAGCACTCAGCAGATGACTCCTCCACCCATGCCATCTCTCTCACTTCCTGTGTAACCAAGGGGGCAAGTCCCTGGTCCCTGCCTGAGGACTGTGACCGGACCCCCTTCACGATCATGGAACCGGGTGGCATGTCATCACTGACTGGAGACTGCCTGATGCAGCAGAGCCGAACGTGCCTAGGCTGCTTCATTGAATCCAAAGACGGTGTGGACCCGGAGCCTGGTATCAGCCTGAAAATAGGCGATGTGAACCGAGAATATGACTCATGTTCTATTTCAGACATAGGAATCCAATGTATGAGCACAGGGGAGAGTGCAAGGTATGGAGATGAGCTGCTTTCTGATCAGCTGTTAAGCTTTCCCCTGCATAAGTCTAGGACAGCAGACAAAAGGGACATTGAGAAATCTGACAGCGATTCAGAAGACCCTACACAGAAAAACTATTATGAAGGATTGCTTCTGGACAAATGCAATGGTGAGGAAGCCCTGTTGTCTAATCCCAATCAAGACTGGGGCTATTTTGAGTCCTTTATTAGTGAGAGCAAAATGGAACTCCTTGACCTTTGCTCCAAAAATGAACTGTCGGTGAACCTGTTTTCCGAGGAGGATGTCGACAACTACATGTTTGATGACGATGACTCCACCCTTAGCAGTGATGTGTGTTCTTTAAAGATCCGCTACGAGTCCTTCCAGGATAATGTGAGGGAAAAAACCAATGCCCTCCAAGAGGAGACTCAGTTTAACTTTTTCCCAAGCGTCCTTGTGAACTGTACCAAAAAAGAGAATGGGGCCATTAAGAAGAATATGGACACTCTGCAGTTCAAAGCGGATGAGATTAGTCTTTGGGGGAACGAGGAGAAGGCAGAATTGAATAAACATGGCAGCACTGCAGATGGAATGCAATACATGACCCCGAAAAGGAACTATTTTTTCGACTCCAACAACTCAACTGAAGATTCAGGAGAATATAGTGATGATAGCTCCTGTACCGGCTCTTCTTACGACACCTTTCGGGACACTAAAGAATGCAACCGCTTTTTGTCCAGAGAAAATTCCAGCTCCTCCAGCCAGCTAAATTATGGACTGAGAGCAAAAAGAAAGGTAAGGTACAGCGAGGACTATCTGTATGATGTGGATTCCATTGAGAGTGAAAGGAATGCAGAGAAACGCGAGAAGCAGCCCTTTGGCCCGAAAGAAGAAGACGATGATGACTGGTGTCCAAAGAAAAGGCGGAAGTCTTCCCGCAAAGAGCCTCCAGTGATCATTAAATATATCATCATTAACAGGTTCAAGGGAGAGAAACACATGTTGGTGAAGCTTGGTAAAATTGATCCCACTCACACAACAGTTAACTTAAATGCTGACCTGCTGCACAAATACGAAAAAATGGCCCCTTTGAAGGGCTACTGGCAAAAAAAGCAACTTGACCGAAGGGAAACACGGATGCAGGGTGACATCAAACATCACTTCCATTTGAATGGCTCAAGCCGTTCCTTTAGCGCAAGTCTCCCCAAAAGGAAATATAAGATTGCAAACAGACTCAGGATTCAAAGAATTCAAACTGTGGAGCAATCACCAAACAAGCAGGGCCCTTCTTCGTCTGATCAGAAGCAGGAAGGCGGCACTAAAGACGACGCAGCCCTTGCAGGCATGCCATTAACAATAGCAGCCCCCAACCGTGCAAACAGATTAGACTCAAATGACATCACACATGCTACCATGGTACACAGCAGATCACAAGAAAGGGAAGATAAGGGAATGGGAAGTAAAATTGTTAGGATAAGAAAATTTAAAAGTGAAGCCAGACTGAAGAGCAAAAGAATGAAAGCCATGCAGGAGGATTGCGAAAACATAACAAACATATCAGGCATTTGCCCAGTTTTAGAAAATCAGGACTCTGTAGGCAGCATGAAGGATGCGACTATTGACTCTGCTACAAACAGCCCCCATTTATCTGAAAACCACACCACTGACGGTGTTGAAAAATCTACTTTTGTATCAGCCACCTGCTCTCCTGACAAACCCGCACCATCTGTGAACGTGTCTACAAGTGTACCAGTTGTCCCCGGAGGCTATCTGCAGACATTGCTAGATGCATCAGATTCATCAAGTAGCACTGGAATCTCTTATTTTTCTCCGCACCCCTCTGGGCAGTACTCCGTCGGTATTTCCCAGGCTGACAAGCAGTTCACTTCCTTGCAGCTTGCACAGAGCTGTGTTCTTTCTCCTCCCTCTGAATCTGAGCTACAACAGTCGCCCCAGAATTGCACAAACCAGATTGAGCCAAATTTCACTCATATGTGGCATGCGCAGCCTACTGCCAGCCAGCCACCATTTGCATCTGACATTGCAGAAACCCCTATAATGGCTAGCAGCTTTTCTGGCCCAGTACCTATGCCAATGGCAGACAACTTGCCGGTCTCAGGATACAGTCAGCTAAACTTGGACGGCAACAGACTACTGTATCAGAAGAATTATTTGCATGAGCAGGCCCTGCAGCCTGACACAGATTATCAACCGTGCCAGGTGCCATGTGGAGAGGGACATTTCCAGTTTCAGAGAGGCACTCTAAATACGGATAATGGCAGACTCATCAGTTTTGATTCAGTGGGTTCGTTGTCAGCAGCTTCAAGTAATTATAGTTCTCTAAGTTTAAAGTCCTGTGATAAGGATGGAGAAGATGAAATGAATGATAACTTCTTAGCCCACTGTAGCCCAAAACTAGTGATCCAGCAAAGTGTTGATGAAATCATTCCCTTGAAGGAATCAACAGACCTCCTGGATATCTCCAACTTCACTCCTGATAAATTCCGCCACTCTTCCTTGTCAGAGATGTCACCACCTGACACACCGAATTTGTCTCCGCAAGTAATAGGACCAGAAATCAAATCTGTGGGAAAAACAAAGGAATTCCAAGATTCAAATGAAGCTGTTTTAGGCAGCACACAGGAGATGAAGTGGAACTGTAATATCATTCAGCAGCAGGACCCTCACAGTGGTCCATTTGTAGTCAACAGTCATCAATTCCAGTTCCACACATTCAATGACGATGACACAGTGAGTCTGGTAGAGAAAACTCCCTCCCTGGATACATTCGACAAGCAGGTGAATAATAGTAGCAGTGGGCCAAAGGCTCCAAAGGCAAAAAAGAAAACAACTGCCAAGCAGAGTGCTGGTCAGAACGCTGGCCCAGACCAGAAGGGTACAAGGAAAGCAAAAACTCCAAAGGCCAGTAAAACAGAAAAGAGCAAAACCCCTAGGCAAAATTCACGGTCCTCCAAAAAAGGGAAAAATCCTTCAGAGAGTAAGAGTGGTAAAGGACAGGCAGGAGGTGCCAAACTGCCAGCAAAGTTTAGAAATAACTTGATTGCCTCAGCTCAGTCTCTGAAAGATACTGTTGTGGTACAAAACACTTCAAGCAGCGTCACTGGGCTGTCTGGTGACTGGCCTTTAGTTAAAGAGGCGAATGCCAGTTGGGCAGAAAGCACAATGGCACAGAATAGCAACCTCCTTGACGACGATCAGCGTGAGTTTGAAGAGCCCTCCAACATCCTGTCTAACATTGCCTCCGGGATGGCTGAGGTCCAGCGTTTCATGATGGCTTCGATCGAGCCGCTGTGGGGCCCTGCATCAGGGGTTTGCCAGCCTCCTGAATCAAACAGCCTAAAACTGAAAACTCTCAAAATACTGGCCGGAACACCGCCCGACTCCAAGAAGAAAGGAGGTGGCACTGGTTGCCTTGGCACTACAAAAAGCAGAAAGTCAGCCGCCAAGGGAGCCAGTAGTAAAAATCAGGCAAAGTTAAATTCATCCCACAGTGCATTCCCTCAAATTGCTTTGGACTGTAATGCAGGCCCTCCGAGGTGCTTGTTTGATAAGGGTGGCCCTAACCTAAATAATCCAGGCACTAATGGCCCAGCACACAAAAAGATGTACCGTCATAAATCAAGTGCAAAGTTCCCAAGGGATGAAAACAGTAAGGGGAAGCGAGGCGAGCGCGAACCGAATAAGGACTTATCAATGATGGCCTCTTTTGAAAAACTGAGGTAATATTTTGTAACCGTGGCTGCAGTGCATCCCTTCTCACTTTCCTCCTACCTTCTCAGCCCTGTCTCCCCTTATTTTTCCCTGTTGACTCGACACAAAAGTTGCATGGCAAAGACATTTCCCCCCGCCCCACCCCCCACACGTTTTTTTCTTTACTGGAGAGAAAATGAATAACTTGCATGAGAAATTCTTGTACTTGCAAACTACCTATTGAGTAATTGTTTCCAGCTTGACTGGTTTCTTTTTTTAAAAAAAAAACTACCATGGCTGCAATTCTCTGCTATGTTGCTGCTTCAGTTTTTTTTCTAATTATTATTTTGTTTTTTGTTCTATTCTTATAAGCCTTGACAAACAACTTTAATACCTGAGCCTTTTTGTGGAATGTTATTTTTTGTGAAACTTGCTGCCCCTTCCTGACAATATCACTCTCTTTGTCTCTGTCTATACATAGATAGCTCTATACAAATGCTTTAACTGAAAACATAAGCACCCTGTCTTTTGTATGCAGAATATGGACGCCTTCCATATCTCAGACTGCCTTTTTCAGCCTGACTCGTGTTATGCGGGAGAACTACAACTTCCTGTAGAGAATCATATCACCCCTGTTGATATATCTAAAGTCACCCTAGGAGTGTGGATAAATGGTCATGCATTTCTGCAGGGAGCCAGACGTCAGTTTTCTTAAAGCAAAAGCAAAAAGGGACTTTTTTGTATTTAATATACATTCAGTGACTTTTTCCTCTTTTTTTTGGAATGGCATTATTTGTTATTGTTTGTTGTCAAAAATGCTTTTTTGGGGGGGCTTTAATGAAATGGACTCCCTCTTTCTTAACAAGCCTGGAATACATTTTAAAATTGCTATTAAATTCTTTCCGAATTGCAATTTTTGTTAATGCCAGTTGTACAGAAAACATATGCACTATTTGCAAAAAAAAAACAGAATTCATGTGCCAAACTATGAACAAGTGACTGTACAGACAATTTTATATCTATATGAACATTTCATGTTTTGTTTTGGGACTCTTAATGGAAAGAAAACATTCCAGAGATGCTATATTTTGGAACAATTCCCCGTTGAAAAGCACCTGCAGCCAACAGTAGGACAAAACCACTCATTTAACCAAAATCAAAAGACATTGTTTTTTATTTTACATTTGGCTGCCAAATTCAACTTACCTCAACATCACCCGGCATTGTGAAGCTCAATGTGAAGAATCCTGTTGAAAGCTCTTAAAAATAGTCCTCTATACAGAATGATGGAGCAGGATGAGTATGAAATGATTCTTGCTGGATGCTCCAGGACGTCTGTAATGCATCAGAGGGTAAGAATATGTACTGTGTTTTGTGTGTGAGTTTTGTTGTTATGTTATGCCGTATTGAATAAGAATACCACCTTAAGCTTATGGTTTTTATGTTACATTGTATTAGTTGTTTAACCCATTTTAAATGTTGTTTTAAGAATGTAATTGTCTTTCTATTTGGGCACACAAGTGCTCAAATGCAAATTGCTGTCATTGTATGTTAAAACTTAATAGTTTATGACATTAGTACATAATTAAGTAAAGTGTCACTCAAAGATGTGCACTCTTTTAAGGCTTCACAACAATTCAGATGTTTTCTGACAAGGCAAAGTGAAGGTGGGGTCTTCAGATGTCTGGAAAGTGTGATTGCCCTCAACAGCAAATACCTGAAACACCAGATTGTGGTGACACCTTTGAAAAAAATGACAATCCATTGTCAGAAAGCTGCTCTTCCTGGTGAGGTTCATGGTAGCCTGAAGTCTTTCCCAGGGTACAATGCCAGACTGAGAGACTGAGTTCCTTTAGAGTACCGAGTCAGACCTAGGCAGAATAGGTAGGAGGTAAGAGAAAACTGGAATACATGGAAAATCTTGTGAAAACACTAGGAGAATATGCTAACTTCAAAACGAATCCCAGGAATCAAACATACAAGCCAGAATCTGTAGAGCAACAGTGCCAACCACCATGCTGACCAGATAAATAAAAAGCAAGTGCTGTTTTGAAAAAATTGAACTTTGATTTAAGGCAGAGAAATCTCTTGACTTACTGATACCTGTGATAAAATATGTAGCTGTGCACTGTGGGATAGTACTGTATAGGAGGTTCCAATTGATGTGACTTGGAACACTTCATCAACAAGATTTATGTGTGTGTTTATAGCCAACTGTGTGTGGCTAAAAAAGAAACTTCTATCTGTCATATTTTAAATATAAATTGTTGTGTTAAATGACCTCTAGTTTTCCCTCTAGTGAGAACATATTTACCCGAGTTCAGAATTTTCATTCAACTTCATTTAACTAAAGCAACAAACTGCAAAACCGCAAAGGAGTTTTATTAGCCAGCAGCCATATCACCCTGCAACTCACAACTGGCAACCCACTGAAGCTAAGCAGGTGTGAGCCTGGTCAGTACCTGGATGGGAGACCTCCTGGGAAAAACTAAGGTTGCTGCTGGAAGCGTTAGTGGGGCCAGCAAGGGGGAATCACCCTGTGGCTCATGTGGGTCCTAATGCCCCAGTGTAGTGACAGGGACACTATACTGTAAACAGGCGCCGTCCTTCGGATGAGACGTAAAACCAAGGTCCTGACTCTCTGTGGTCATTAAAAAAACCCAGGGTGTTTCTCGAAAAGAGTAGGGGTGTAACCCCGGCATCCTGGCCAAATTTCCCCATCAGCCTTTGTCAATCATGGCCTCCTAACAATCCTCCTCTAAATATTGGCTTCATTACTCTGCACTGATCGCTGGTGTGTGGTGAGCGTTGTGGCGCACTATGGCTGCCGTTGCATCATCCAGGTGGATGCTGCACATTGGTAGTGGTGGAGGGGAGTCCCCATTACCTGCAATGCGTTTGAGTGGAGTGTCCAGAAAAGCACTATATAAGTGTAAGCAATTATTATTATTATTATTAAATTATTCAATGTTTACTTCTGTAGTAGCTTGACGATTTCTTATAAAGATAGTATCTGTATTCATCGGTCCCATGATGCTTGGTATTAACCTTGTTTTTATAGAAAATTAGTACCAGAATAGCTCTGAATAATATAACATTGCTACAGTTGTTTATGTAGCATTTTTCTTGTCATAGTTGCATTGTTTGACTGTGACATGTTGAAGTCAAAATGGGTTTTAGAATGTTTGGGAAAGAGAATGGTGTGTATGTGTTGTATGAGTTGTTGTGTGTGCTAAGTGTGCTTCCAGAAAAACAAAGGAAAAAAAACTGGAGGCTGTAACTGACAAACACATGTAACAAGAGTTTTATCTTGTTTTCAGTGTGCGAATGATATGCTTACTGTATACTTCGGATATAGTCATCAGGCACCTCCTCGGTCGTCCTCAGGTGTCAGTGAAGTTCTCTGTCTATGGCCCCTGCTATTTCTGTTTGGCTCCATTACCTCTAGATTGACATATGCTATCCACCATCTCGAATCTACATCAATTTCTTCTCCGGACCTCTCCTCGCCTTTCACTTTATGCTTTATTTCTTTCAACATTTTCATTAAAAACATGAATTCCGCTCCTGTCACCAGATGTGGCTCTTTCTGTCTCATCCACTGCGCATGTGCTGGGGCTCAGGACAGAGGCCCCCCCTCGCCTGCAGGTCTCGCTCTCACCTTACCTGCTACACCCACATCCCCATCATTCCTCTCCAACAGCAGTCTTGTACCATACTGATCCTTCATCTCGGAAAACGAATTTGAAAAATTCTGGATTATGGCAAAATCGGTTTTGCATCATGACCACCACCTGTAGTCTTCAAAAGGTCTTTTGTTAGAAACATCAGGACAAATATACTATTGCAGCTGAAAACAGCTATGGTCCAGCAGAATGTTCATGGAATACTAGAACTGAAAGGCAGTATGTACAGTACATAGCAAAATAGTATTACTGGTTTCTCTTTTCTCTTCCACCAGTCTGGGCACGCTCTCATTTCACTTAAAGACATAATAAAGTCAGCAGGTTACTGTACAGCTAGTTCAGAGCATCAGTGGTGACCACAACACATTTGTTTTATTTTTATTTCACTTAACTACAAGAAATTTAATAGTGGCATATAATTAAGGGAGCCACAGTAGTTTTTACTGCTAACCACATTCAAGCTTAACCTCTGCGAACTCTTTACATAAACATTTCACAGTAAGCATTTACATTCTCAAGACACATCACAGACTCATCTTCATTGCATATTTAAAACTCTTTTGCTTCTCATTTCTTTTCTTTATGCTTCAGACATATGGCTTCAACTCATCACCTAACCACCTTCCATGGAAGTAGTGCATATATCTTCTTTATTTACAACTTACAATGACAGGTCTCATGCTTAGGTATTCCATTGAGGATCCTCCAACATACCTTGCATATTTTAAGCAAAGGCTTACTTTAGTTTGTCTGGTACATACAGTACCTCGCTTGGCAGTGGTGTAGCCAGGATTAAATATCTTAGGTGGGGGGGACACCTACTGGGGTGGCATTTTTAAATGATATTATTTGCCTTCTAAAATAGGATGTACTACTAAGAGGTGTATTACTATTCTTCTCTGCACCATTTACACTGGTAACTCCTGTTTTACATCGTGGGTGAGGAGGAACTGACGCACAAGCAGAATGGATTTGTGCAGAGCTTGTATTCACACCAGACACAACTTTAGAAATATGCCCAAACCCTGTTATTTCTAACCATATTTTGTCATATTTTGAGAGCATCTTAAAGAGCTTTTAAATAAATTACAATAAAAAATCATAATTCTCAATATAAGATACAATGGGGTGACAGTTTCTATTTTTTTGGGTTTCTTTAATGTCATGTAGTCTTGTCTTCTTTAAAAAAATAATGAGTTGTTGCATTAATAGAAAGAAACTTTGACTTTGACTTGACCTACAAACACAACACCAGTTATGATTATATATTGCACAATTAACTGTATAGTATGCATTTAAAGGCCTTTTCTGTGAAAATCCACTGGCGTGCCACTTGTGCACACACAAAAAATAGACTCAATAAATGCTTCAAGTGGGTTATGCCCGTGACTGGTGTGAAGAGAGAAATTGATTAATATGAGCGTTGGTTAGAAATGGTTAAAAGCACTGCTGATGCACAGTGTTTTTAACAAGTTTAAAACAACTGGATGTAGTGATTGTTGTCCTGGCTGACAAGGTTTCTCACAAACTTATCCAAATCATGTGCTTTCATTTGCTCTGATTTAATGCTGAGTACTGAGAGACTGCCCTACCTGTCATCTGCCATAATTGTACGTAGATGCTTCTTCACCAGTTGAAGAGCTGTGCTCTCAAGTAGCACTACTCACTGGCAATTCTGCAAAAGTGAAAGAACTGATGAAACACTTCTATGAACGGCTCTAAAAATCTTGTGAAGTGAACTAAACGGGAGGGCTTTTCCATTCCTCCAGCCGTCTTTCTTCCCATAAATCTCTTACTTTGTTGCAACTCATGTTCCAGTTCCTCCACATCAGACTCATAAGTGCTGGCCAATGACACCAGAGCTCCCTCTTCTACAAAGCTGCTGGTCAGTGCCTGTATTCATTTCATTATGTTACAATTTTATTTAGAGAGACACCCCTGCATCTCACCAAACATGATATTAAGTACAGCACAGTGTATTCCTACATGCATGTGATGACACTATCTTGTAATTTACAGCTTGTCTTTTTTGATCTCCTCTGAAAACTTTCAGTTGTACTGACATTGCACTGTTCTGCACTATAAATGATCTCATTCCAAAACTTATCAAATGCTGATTCAACACAGTTTTCACAAAAAAATGCTGAAGAGCTTCAAAAAGCTCAATTGATTTGGTAAGGTTCATATTTGGTGACTGGAGTATTTCTGAATGAACTTTCTTGAATAATGCAAGAAGCCCTGTAAATCTCAGGTCAATTTGAAAAAGTAAAACCCTAGCTTCTACAGCTCTATCAGAACTGTTTTCATCACAAATTGTCTCCTGCACCCTAATGACAGCTGACAACCTTAAGGTTTCTGCAGGCTAAATACCCGCAGGCCCTACCTTGTGTACTTAGCCTTTGGAACTGCCTTGGCATGCCTCCAAACATTTCATGTTGCACTTCAAGCCACTTATGTTGAACATAACAGCCAGACATTCAGTTTCTCCAGTAAGGAGAAAAAACATGCAACCTATGGCACAGATTTCACAAACTCAACAAGTACCCAGCTTTAGACAATATCCATTACAATTGACTTTAATTGCAGGTTTGGCTACTGCTTTGACTCTCATTTCCAAACCAGAATGTTTTCTACTCCAAAAGGATGTTCCATCATACCCTTGCCAG